GTGTTCATTTTTGGGAAGTGATTCCCAAAAAAGAACACTTTGCTCTTGGACTTCTGGACTTCAGGAGTCCATGGGAGTCCAGGAGGCCGCTATTTCCCCCTTGGGTTAAGGACAGATGTTGTATACTTAAAAGTTTTTTTTTCCATTTTTCATGTTGTTGTGTTTCTTTCAAATCAAGCATTAATCTCTTGAGCAATCAAGATCTTGGTATCAGGTTATGTGAATTAATCAATTTTAGTAAATGGATTAGTTTTAAATTACATGTAGGAGAGATATTAAGTGTTTTCTTTTCTCCTCTAAAATCTTGTCTTATTCTTTTAAGAAATGATGTAAAATGTGATTTGGTTAGATTATCAATTTTAATGGATTTTATTGGGGCTTAATTTACTTTAAATATATTTATCTTATCCAGAACTTTTGGGATTATTATCTTCAGTTAACTAGATCGTTTATATTGACATAGATTTAAACTCATTATTTATCATGTTATCAATTATTTTGTATCTAATCTTGATAAAACAAGCCTAAAACCGACGAGTACTTTTGGTATTCGATATCCCAAGCAAAAATGATCCAATGTTTTGGATGTGAGATGTACGTGGAGCTGAATCTAAATAAATAAGTCAAAAAAATTGGGTCGTTTTTGCTTGGAATATTTGCTATAGCAAAAAAAACTTCGTGTGCTCTACTGGAACTTTTTCTCTATAGTAACCGTTTTATCAGAGAAAAAACGATGTTGGTTTTTTCATTTCGTTGCTTCGAGTACCTTTTTACAGATAGATTAGAAGATATTTCAGTTCTTTAGAAGGCGCTAATTGAATTTGAAGTTATGCTTAATTTTAAATAGTTTTCATTTGTTATTAGCTGATGAAGAAGAATTACCAGCAAATGCTTCAGCTCAAAGTTTGGGTGTTCGTGCACAAAAAAAATTACTAAGGTAAAATGAATGTAGACCTATATACTTATATAAAATGACTATTCTATTTTATTCTTTCTATTATAGTAAATTATCATCAAAATCGGTTGCTAAAGTGTTTATTGATGATACAAGTGGTCGAATATTAGATAATATTCATAAAATAGCACGTAGTTATACAAATAGTAAAAAGGATGCAGATAAATTATTAAAATATATCATTAAAACAATTGTTAAATTGGGTATTTTATATAAAAATGATTTATTTACAAATAATGAATTAAAATTAATCGATGATTTTCGTAATCGTTTTCATTCACTTTGTAAAGCTGTTGTTACATTTTATGAAGTTGATTTTACATTTGATCGTTCATTTTTGGTTCGTGTTCTAAAAGAATGTCAAGAATTAACACATAAAATTATTGCATCTCATTTAACACAAAAATCACATGAACGAATTGATTATGTATTTAATTTTTTTGGTAATCTAGCCTTTTTAGAATATGCATTTGATCCAAAATTAGATAAAAATCGTGCAATGGTAGGACAAATTGTTGCAGATATGAATTTATTAATCAATGATGGATTATTATAGATAAAATGTCAAAATTAAATATTTGTTATAACACCTCAAAATGTGCAACATTTATTTATTTATTTATTTGTCATGAACATGTGCTTGTTTTTTTCTTGCTAAACTCTTTGATGTGTTTTGCCCTTTCATACTAGTCTTGATTGATTTCTTTTCTCATTGCTGTGTCAAGAAATCAAAAATGAAAATATTTTTTATTTGTTAATATCTCTTCTTTTTTTTTTTATTATTATTATGAAAAAACATGTACATATCGTCTATCTCCTATCTTATTTGTTTAAGAAGAAAAAAAAAATAAACAAAATATATATGAGCAGTAGTATGTGCATTATAGTTACTGATTTCAGAAAATATTGATGTGGATAAAGTGACATCATTCTTTGTTGTAATCAATCTCCAATAAAAAAAAAACTTCTCTACTACGAACTCTATCAATTCTTTTTTTCGTTTATTGTAAGTATTTGTATGTCAAGTACTTGTAATAGTAAACTACAACATCATTGAACATAAAAAAATAATGTTGATATCAACATACTTTATTAGAAATTTAAAATAGTAATATGCCAAGCTTTGCACGATTTTTCTCGATATCTACTTTTCTTCTACTGTATTTTTCCTCATCTGTACATCTTAATGAATCAATTGTATTTAAAATATCAGATAGACGACGATTTGGTGCACTCGCTATCTTTGAACTGGAAATATATTCTGGTTTATCATCAATATGAATTATTTGTCTATCAACAGCGGTATTATTTGTTGTTGTCGTTGTTGTTGTTGTGGAAAGTGTTGATGGTTTTACATTGCCATGTGATTGTAATACATTTGATTCTCCTCCTTTTAATTTTGCTTGAAATTGACGAATATATTGTGGTGTTTCAGCTGTCGGTTCCTCATCATCATGTTTCGTTACCGATAATGGTTCAAGAAAATCTTCAATTTGTTTTGATTTTGTTAATTCTTGAAGATGAGACATTTCTCGATCACGAAGTATTTTTATTGCTTTTAAACGTTCATAATCTTCATCTATTAAGTCTTCATTCAAATTATGTTTGCTTATTTTGGGCTTTTTTTTCTCGGCAACAGGTTTGACTATGGCAGAGGATGATCGTCGAGAAATCTTTCTAAAAAATCAAATAACATATAGAGATTATGTATAGCATAAGTTATAGATTTTCTGTTGAAATATGAAAGAGAAGTTTAAAGTCTAAATTTTAAAATCTCATTAAGAATTAAAGTGTTTTTCAAGGTTTATTTGTACAAACCGTTTTGTTTTGTTCTCTGAATCTTGCCATCCTTCAGGTCTTGCCATCTTGTTAGCAAATACCACTTCTGTTACATCGTCACTTAAAAATGATTTAATATCTTCATCGTATGTCAAGTCTGAACCCGAATAACTATTGTCTGATAATCTTGATGTTTGTTGATTTCGAACACGTAGATAATTCTCATTTTGTGGCACCTTCTGTTGCTGTTTTGAAAGTAGTTCACGTGTTTCATTTTCCATTGCATTTCGTTTTAACAATGGTAAATATCGATTATTTGCACTTAAAAAACGTTCTGGATGTAGACGAAAATCTTTAATTGAATATTTTGATGATAGACGTCGACTATGTGTCCCTGTTTGATTATCATTGATTTTTATCAAAATATTACTATGTAGAAGTTCAGGACTATTTGTGCCTTCACCGTTGTGAGTGATGAACACCGGTGCCGAATTTGATTCCCGTTGATCATTCTCTTGAGGTGGTTTTATGCCGTTAGCTGAAGTAATAGTTCGCGGCATTAAATAATTATTTTGACTTGATCTTCGTCGTTGAATAGATGAATTCAAACGAAATTGAACATGACGTTTTTGAGTGTTCTGTTTTTCATTTTCAATAGCTCCCTGTGTATGCTGACTCAATGTTGGTCCTTGCTAAAAAAGAACAGAGCATATATATTATTCATGGCTATTACAGATCACATCCCATGAATTAATTTGAAGCGGCTAATAATTGTTATAACACATTAAATATGAACATTCATATTTAACGGGTTCTGATGATCGTAGCCATTTCAAATTATTTCTTGAATTCATGCTTTTTTTTTACCGTTTCCACATGCACTAAAGTATTAGTTGATGAATGATCTCCTTGTTTTTGTAAATAAGAGGCTGCCAAAGATGCGCTGGTTTGCGTTTGTGATTTACTTCGAGATTTTTTCGTTGGAGGAGTTGGCGTACGACGTTCCACTGATGGAGATCGTGAACGATTTTTGACTCGATTCGAATTTTCATTCAAAAAGATTGATGGATCATTAAAATCATCGTCATCGTTAGCATATTTGCAACATTTTCGTACGTAACTCAATGTTCTAAAAGTATAAAAGAAATCTTTCTGTTGTTATCAGAAACGTCAAATTTTTTAGTATAGTACCGTAAAATTGCTTGATTATCTTTTAAATGTAAAGCTTGTTTATTGGCAAATAACTTTTGTTCAAAATTCATAGTTTCAATCGTTTTTTGTCGTTGTTCCGCTAATTGTATCAATTGTACGTCTAAAAGTTTTCCTGTTTGTATAAATGTACTTTCTGAACGTTTTTGATTCGCTAAGCCGCCAATAGCAGCAGCCGAAGCCGATGAATTTATCGATATTGAACGACCTTTTCGTGCCCAACGTTCGATGCGTACTTTTCGCGCATTTAATTGAGCTGAACGTATTGCTAACATATACTGATTTTCCTGATTTGATTTTTTATGATTATTCAATGTACTTTTACGATCCAAATCTCTCATACTTTGTGGTCGAGGTTTTACATCTGATAACGGTCTATCCACGGCCATTTTCTATTTTAAGCTAATTCCTAAATAAATTTAAAAGTCACAAAAATACAAATGAAAATATAGTTTAAACTATTATCTAATTAAGATTCCAATGATGAAAGAAAACAAGTTTCAGATACCCTGTTTATGTCATATAATAAATAGGCATTACACAGCTTTGTAGATTAATTAATGCGCTGTTTTGAAACTTTTCATTTGGATATTTCGGCCTGTTTATTCGGTCATTTTCACCATACTAACAACAAAAAACACCAGCATAACCTATACATGGCTCTTTGTTTTCTCTGACATGGATGGAAAACATGTGATACATTCCAGAGATCGAAAGAAGAAAAGCAAGATTTCCATCCATTTTTTATCTCAAATGTTTGAAATAAAATAATCTCTGTACATTTTTCCAAACGGAATAAGAAGAGAATTATTAACAAGGACAATGGATGACAAAAGAATGATACCACCAGACACTGTCAAATAGAATAATAACAACAATGGGCGGCTATGATAATGTTGTCAAGTTTTTTTTATTTCAAACGTTTGAGATAAAAAAATGGGTGGGGGTTTTGTTGTTTCTTTTTTCGTTCTCTGGAATGTATCACGTGTTTTCCATCCATGTCAGAAAAAAACAAAGAGCCATGTATAGATTATGTTGATGTTTTTTTTGTTATTCGTATGTTGAAAATAACCAAATAAACAAGTCGAAATATTCAAATGAAAGGTTTTTCAAAACAGTCACATTAATTAATCTATTATGCATTAAATTCTTGCCCATTACATAGTTTTCTAACTTGGACAAGTGATGATTGAAAAGAGTATTTATACAGAACTCACCTTCTCTTGACGGTAGAGAAGTACCAATTAATAAATGTAAATTCACTAGTTTAAAACTTAAATTTTATTTTGTAAAAACATTTGTTTTTTCTTTTCTTTTTTTTGATAATTGACTTAAATTTGAAAAATTCACAAAATGAAAATTAAACTGTGTATGCATACATTTACCGTTTTGTCGATCGCAAGATAAATATGGGTGACAATTAAAAAAGTGTTTTTACTTTTAACTTTTAACTTTCAAATTTCCTTTGCATATAATAGAGGTAATTTATCGTCATCCGGTTTTTTTTTAATGCATGTTTTTAACGTCAATCAGCATAAGTCAAGAATTTAATTGATTTTTTTTTCTTCTTCGTCCCTTCTATGAAATTGATATAGAGTGATGTGTGTTTATTTTCTTTGTCGAATATGTTGTTTATGGACCAAAATACAGTAGTTGTAAAAGTAACAAGTGCTTAAACATAAATCATTTTTATAAAAAGAAAATTTTTTTTCTTTATTTTCGTTTTTCTTTTACTTTCTCCATTGAATTATTTTTGACGTTTTATTTGATTATTTTTCATGTTCAATAATACATAATAGGGTTTCAAACTTTTCGTTTTTTTTATATATTTGTTGAATGATACGTTTTTTTGAAAAAAAACATCATTATGTGAAGTGGGTCGTATACCTTTAATCGAATCAGCATATAACAAAAAAAGGTTATATTTTTTTTCGAAAAAATAAAAATAAAAGAGAAAAAAAACTCGAACATCTTTTGTAAGAATTTAAAATATAAGTGTCGATGGTTAATAGACATCATAAATTGTCATATGGAGTTTAACGTATACACAATTATTTTGAAGAAAAAAGAAAATTAATACGTTTTCTTCATGTAAATAGATTCAAATATGAGAATCAGTGGGGAATGTTTAGACAATTAAACCTTGACAATTGAATTTTAATAACGATAAACAACTTTAAGAGGATTGGTTGTAAACATAAATAAACGTTGTCCGACGAAGAGCTTCTATAATCTGTATTTCATATAATCATCTAAAGAATACATAAATCTTTATAACAGATCTTATTGGAACACTCAATAAGTACTTTCTACTCTTGTTGATGAGGGAAAGTCCGTATGTGATACCCTCCGATTTTGATGATCTTTTGCCGATAGATACTATATGATGTCCTAGTCTTAACCTCTAAAGACTTTGCTTTTATAGCTCTTCTTTCAAAAGTTCTGGATTTTTTAAGATTGGCCAGTGGAGATTCTAATTCATCATTATTTACTTTATAAAACTTGTCCGCATGTGTGCTGATCAGCCAAAATCTTTTTAAACACCTGTTCATCTAGAGAGGCCATGCCGAGCCTTCTAGGGCATGCCCGAGAAAAAAGTGTTGGCCACATTTCAAGGCCAATCTGAGATTTGTAGCACTTAAAATAGCGGAGAAAACGTGGAATTACGCAACACCACAAGACAGAAACCGATGTAGAGGAATGAAAGAAAAGGAGAAAAGCAGAGTTTAAGGTGCCCTTAGAAAAATGCTTATGACTTTTGATGGGAATATCATACAGAACTTAGCAATGTCTTATTTTGAAGAGAACACTTTTTTCTATATGAACAGGTGTTTAAAAAGATTTTGGCTGGTCAGCACACATGCGAGCAAGTTTTATAAAGTAAATAATGATGAATTAGAATTCCACTGGTCAATCTTAAAAAATCCATAACTTTTGAAAGAAGAGCTATACAACCAAATCCTTTAGAGGTTAAGACTAGGACATCATATAGTATCTATCGGCAAAAGATCATCAAAATCTGAGAGTATCACCTAGGGATCTTCCCTCGTGAGTATCATGGCTCTCGAATGAATATTTGTTTAAAATTTACTTGTAGTCTTATACGGAACTGTGATGGGATAATTATAGTTAAACCAGAAGAAACGTACTAAACTTAGTTTTTACAGAACATTTTAACTATATCATTCAATAATTAGTCCATATTGTAGAGAATTATTTGCCTTATTCTCCATACAATTTGTTAGCCATGTCAATTTATTCTGAATTAAGAGAAAATTTCACTTCAGAAAAAGATGTTACGTTAAAATGTTCGAGTATTTCAAAGTTATAGGTAGTGTAAGCGTCTAAATAAAGACTTGCAGCAAAATCTCTATGAAGACTTTAGTGTGGCAGTAGTTAATGTCTGATTTGTTTTAAAGTGAACGAGACACTAGCATCTAACTTTCCGTCGTGGCGATTGTAGAATTTCTTCATTGGTTGCGGCTTGTCGAAAACTCGTCTCGTACTCACCTATTGCTATGCGTTTTAGCCGAAAACCTCAGAAGTAATTTTTGTGAGATGTACTTTCACCCTTCTAGGAGAAACGCATGTCTTAGAGTCCGAGATAAAAACTGGTAACCTTGATATTAAAATTCGTTATATGCATAAAGTTAACTGCGTCAAAATCCGTTGTGTCATTTTTCGAAACAAAGGTCTATTTTTTGACCGAGCTATATTTTTCACCTACACGAGCCTTAATCCATTAATTGGAAATTAAGAAAGTGAAAAAAATCAATCATTTTTTCTATTTATACATGATTTGGTATAATTATTGCCAGTACTTGCAAATTACGCAGAATAGACAAAAGAATTATTTTTACTGTCTCTCAGAAGCAGCTTTTAATACCGATGCCAAGCTATTTAGAATCCTGAACTTTTTTTATCACACACATGCGAGAAAGTCGCCAAAGCCTGATTAAAACTGATCAGTATTCAACATATATGCCATTTTTATAATTTTACATTGTCCAAAAATCGAAGTATAATCCTTTAAGCTGTTAGAGTTGTTGACTCAACAACTCTCACTGTACTCAACAATGTTGAGTGCTGAGAAAAAAAATGAAATGATAATATCCTACGAATATCATCTACCTTCTAGAAAATATAAAAATCAACGGAATTCGACTAATATATTGAACAAATAAATCGATCGATTAGTTGCTTGTCTAAGAAAGCAAATTAATAAACACATCGGCGATTTTCTGCAGCAGGTAGACTTCGCTCTACAAAATGCAATGTCATTCGATTTTTATTGATACTCTAGGTCAGAATAATTGTGAACGCAATTCTTTTGAGAGTTTTTTCTATTAATACTTACATCAATATTTATCGACTGCAATCTAGCGTTTTTTGATACAAGTTTTTGATGACGCAAAAGTAATCTTCTAGAGTTTTTTAATATTTGGCTGTTGTAAGGCAGACAGTTCACTACAAAGTGAGATATGACAGCACTTACTTTTCGTCGTGGTTCTGTACTCAAATAAAAAATTTTACTAAAGATCTCATGCCTGTCACTGATATCGAGTGATGGTTCTTCGTCGAGAAGCGACTGGATCATAGCATTTTTATGAAAAACGGTAAAACATACTGATGCCGATTTAAGACACAGCCGGTAGGCGGCGTTGAAACGATTGTCACACAAAGAATTAAGGTCGACTAACATTTTCCTTTTGTATAGAAAAGTCTGTCTTTTAAGATTGTAACCTGAAATGTTGAAGACATATTTTAACTAATAAAAATAGGATCCTATTATCAACCTGCTTTTAGACAAATAAAAATATGAGGAAACAGATTGTACGCGAAAGATGTAACTTTTCTTTCGTTATGCTACAGTTCAAGTTGAACTATAGGTGTCTGTATTACAGTTCTGCAAAATTACTCTAGATCCATCCACTGACTGTTTAGTTGATCAACTTCCACTATCTCACTCAACAAAGATCTCATATTCCCGAAAAGTTCATGTGACACATTGCCAATAATGAGATGTAGTTGCCCTATTGTGTACTACTATCCAAAGTTTCAAGGTTAAGATTTTTCTTATAAAAAGTCAGAAAACAGCAGGAAAGGAAATGCAAGAAAGAAAGGCTCCATACCAGAACATCGGCTTACTCATTTGCGGTAGCACTATTCTTTCATCCAGCATAATCTATCAGAAAAATGAGTAAACAGTTCGCGTTCAGAAAAAGAATTTTAACTAGATGCCAACTGGGCTCTGCGAAGATTGAAAGACGACTGAATGAACGCTTGTGAGAAGCAAGTAAGACAGAAACGAAATTGTAAAAATTAAGAAGAGAATAAGAATCTTAATTATTAACATTATTGTATCAGCTGATTCATTATCCTATCATACATTCTGCTAAAGCTTTCATAATATCAAGCACTATAGTATAGATTCACTACGAACGATATCACATGACGACTAATTATTTCATAGGAGAAACGATAGAGTTTTCTAAAAAATATACTCATTTTGTACCACTGATTATAGGATAACTAAAGCAAATATCCGAAAACTAACTTTAGTTGTGTCATGTACGACTCTTCTACTTTCGAATAATCTTTTTCTCAAATCTGTACGATTAGACATAATCGAGAACGGTGGGCAGAAAAGTGTAGAGAAAGAAATAAAGAAAGGACTCTGGAGAAAAGCAATAAGCCGACAAGTCGGCTTAAAGATTAAATGTCAACTACCCTTCGGGTAGATTGGAAAGTTGACTGAGTGAAACGGTAAACAGATGAAATTAGAACATCTAGAAAGTCATAACTGTCTACGTATCTTATACAGCATATTATTCACATTGATATAACAGCTGATTCATTATCGTATCATATGTTGTACTACAGTATATCCAGTACTGTAGCATATATTCGCTATGAAGTAAATCACATGACAATTAATTACCTCGTAAGAAAAATGATAGAGTTTTCTAAAAAAATATACGAGGGAACCCTGGGAGATGTCCCCTTTCGATTTCAATGATTTGTACATGGATCGACAGACTTCAGTGAGGTAGTAAATACCCTAAAAGGATTCGTGCCCATGACTCTTGAAGATCCGATTTTCTGGGAAACTAGTTTCTCAGAAACTCTAAAAACTAACCAAAACCTTTCTTAATGAGACATGATTGTAGCCCGCAAATTTCTGATTAAAATAAGACACCTTCCAGCTCTACATGACCTTTCTTTTCAAAGTTATACAATTTACAACAAAAGCCCTAAATTTATTTCTTCTTATTTCTGTAGCTTTGGCCTGACAATGAACATTTAGGACTTTTCTTGTAAATTGTATAACTTTGCAAAGAAAGGTCATGTAGAGCTGGAAGGTGTCTCATTTTAATCAGAAATTTGCGGGCTACAATTATGTCTCATTAAGAAAGATTTTGGTTAGTTTTTAGAGTTTCTGAAAAACTGGTTTTCCAGAAAATTGGATCTTCAGGAGTCATGGGCACGAATGTACAAATCATTGAAATCGGAAGGGGACATCTCGCAAGGTTCCCTCGTTAGGTTTATTCATTTTTAATGTTTCAGATTCATCAATATCCGAGTATATACTTGTTTGGAATATCGTTCTTCTCTTGATGATTGAAGATATGAGTATTCATGTATTATTGATAATATATATCACCATTTAACAAAAACTCGTGAAATTAAATAAAACATTTAGTTTTTACGATGTTAATGTACGTCAACAGTCAACCATTTCATTTCCGTAAATCTATCGACTAATTAGTTTCAGATGATTAACGTGTTTTACTGATAATTCAAAAGATTCATATCGCACTGAGCAATTACAATAAATAAATTTCGAAAATTAGAAAAGAAGAACAATTGGAAGTGGCCTAAATAAGCTAACAATCATGGAATTGAAGACAGAAGTACAAATAAATTTAAACACCATGTTCTTTTAGAAGATTGCCGGCAATAACAAGACGTTGAATTTCACTTGTACCTGAGAACATAAACGATATTTCTTAACATAGTCAGAAAAACGTAGAAACTAAAACATTACCCTCATAAATTTCAGTTATTCTCGAATCACGGTAAAAGCGTTCGGCAGGCATATCACTGACGTATCCCATACCACCCAATATTTGCATACACTAAACAAATGAAATAAAATCAAAAAGAACTCAAAAAGAACAAAATTTTTACTACCTGATGTGAATTAAACGTGGCACATTCACTGGCAGATAATTTGGCCATCGCTGCCCATTTTGAATAATTTTCACCATTCATTTTTAATGCAGCTGCTTTCCATGTTAATAAACGTGCAGATTGCAATCGCATTTCCATATCTAACAACAAAACAAAGTCCATAAAAATAGTTGTTGTGACTAAAATTACCTAGTTACCAGCTAATTTCATTTGGATGGTTTGTATATTTGTCAATGATTTACCAAATACCTGACGTTTAGTTGCATAATCAATTGCACAATCTAAAGCTGCTTGAGCTATGCCAAGTGCTTGGGATGCTATTCCTAAAAAGTGTCAATTGAATTATGAACAAATAATCTTAATGAAATTAGTAACAGAAATTCTGAAAATTTTAGACAAAACGTGATTTACATACCAATACGACCTGCGTCAAGCGTAACCATTGCAATTTTAAATCCGTCACCTTTTTTTCCCAATAAACTTTCCTTTGGTATTTCACAATCATCGAATATAAGATTGCACGTTGAAGTCGCTCGTATACCTATATATTTAAAAGTAAATAACAAAATCAATTTTAATATGAAAATAATTTATTTATTACCTAATTTATCTTCTTTTTTTCCTAGTGTTAATCCTTGAATTGGTTTTTTAATGAGAAATGCACTGATTCCTTTATGTTTTAATGATTTATCAGTTGTGGCAAAAACTATCGTTGCTTCTGATTCATATCCATTAGTTATCCAACTTTTTGTTCCATTCATCACATAATGTGTTCCATTTTTATCTGTCACAACTGTACTTGCGGCACCCGCATCCGATCCATTACCTGGTTCTGATAAAGCAAAACATCCAACACGATCACCATTTAAAAAAGGAGCTGCAAATTCATTAATCTGATTTTTATTTCCATATTTCATAATTGGTCCTAAATACAGAGACTAACAATTTCTACACAATATAATAACGATGAACATTATGATAATATCAACCTACATTATTTACAGACATAATTGTACCAGTACTTGCACATCCACGACTTATTTCTTCCATTGCAATTGCGTATGCCAATGTATCTAATCCTGATCCACCTATGTTCTCGTCTACCTCCACACACAACAAACCCAGTTCACCTAATTTTTTGATCTTATAAAAAAAAAGAAAGTGAAAGTATATTAAAAACTAAAGAACATATAGTCGCTGGAATATGTACTTGTTCTTTTGGATACTGATGTTTTTTATCTAAATCACCGGCAATTGGCATTAATTCACGTTCAGCAAAATCACGACAAGTTTGTCTTAACATCGTATGTGATTCTGACAATGTAAATAATGTGGAACCAACTGTCGATGTCGTGGATGAAAACATTTTCGATGAATAAAGTAAAGAGATAAACTGTCGATTCTCACCTAAATAACAAAATTCATTTTATAATAAATAAAATTTAGTTAGCGCATTACAGTGGACATTTAGGATTAAGCAGACGGATATGTAACTTTTATGCTCCGAAACGGGATTCTTTTGCTCAGAAATGATTGTATATCAATCATAAAATCATCTTCAAGAAAATAAAGCAATTTTTCGAAAAAAAATTTCGACGAAAAACACCTGAGGGGGGACCCTTACCCTTATTTTTTAGAAAAAATGTTTTTGTTCGAAAATATTTTGTGTCATACACCATCTGACGCAGTTTCACGCGCTGATTCTGAATATCACATTATTTCTTGAATAAAAATATTTTTTGACGGAGAAAAATGTAAAATATCTGGAAAAAGCTGATCTCGATCTAGGAGAAAAACTGCTATCACCACCGATTCAGGCTATGTCGATGCACATTCTATAAAATTTTCAACGAATTTGGAGCTTTGGAAACTCATTACACTGAACGTAGCTCCCGGAAAAATCGCTTCGGGTGGAAAAAGCTTTCTCGCAAAAAGGCTTGATCTGAGACGAACTTTTTTTAACCAATAGATAGCTAGAAGTGTCCTGATCCCAAATAACACGTTTCGAAAATTTAAATGCAATTCAGTTCAATTAAAAGTTGATTTTACATAGAGGTCACGGATACAGGAGATATTTTTTCTTAAACACTTTTTACTCGCAAATTGCTCGTTCAAAACAAAAATTTTTACGCCATTAGTTAGCCCATCTATCAACGTATATTTGCCACTATTTTAATTTTAAAAAACCATACTTTCCATTTTTCGCTAACTGTCCGCCTGGATGTCCACTGTGCACATATATACTTACTATGACAAATCGATGATAAAACTCTTCTTGTCACAAACATGATTATAGAAAATAAATCTAAAAGAACATATTTTCGAATATACCAATAATAATTTTGGCTGCTAATTACAGAATTGCTACGAATAGAAACGTGTCATATAGCACCTGAATATCATTTATTTTGAATCGACTACAGTAAATAGCAAAAACAAAAACAAAAATAGAAGCAAACAATATATATATATTTTTTTAAAACAGAATAAAGCCAACAACACTGGTATATTCTTGGAATAAAAATGAATATAAAAAAAAAATAGGGAATGAGACTCGTACATGATGTATATCTTTTTCTGATCTTTTTTTCTTCTTCCCGTTAGATTTTAAACAAATTCTCCTTTGATTATCGACGTTTTTCAGCCATAAAATATTTCATAATATCTTTGATCATCGTAATATCTTGATGTAAATAATTGTTCGTTAAAAATGTATTGGTATTTTTCATTTTAGTTGTATTAACCAAAATGAGTGTTGATGATTTATTATTATTGACTAATGGTTCCAAATATTTATCAATAATTGAATAGATAAGTGTCTCATTATATTTGAACAATTTTAGTTCATCTAAAATATGTTGATACATATCTAAATTAAAATCATTCAAATAAGATTTTAGACAAACATTTGTCGCTTTTCCTAATGTATTGATATGTTCAATTAGAGAACATAATGTAGAATTTTTTGACGCTAAAAAACGTTTATCATCTAATGGTATTTGTCTATTAATTAATCGATCAATTATTTTCATTGCACTATCGTAGGCCAATGTTACTTCTGAACACTGTTCAATTGCCAATAAAACGGTATTTGATGTCAAATCAAAATCATATGAAACACCATAGGCATGACCACTAGTACGACAAGCCGTCCATAACGGACCATTTTCTAAATTCATATAAGTTGTAAAGATCAAAAGTGGTATAAGGTCATTTTTATCTATTGAACAATTTGACCATCGAAGAATATAACTAAAACATAGAGAAAATAGAAAATACTAGAAATTATTAAATTTAAATGACTTTAAGAGAGATCTCGTGACTCAAGGCCCGTAGTCAGGATTTTTGCGAAGGGGATCGATTTTTTTGCCTTCAGAGATAGTGTGAAGTCTTATCAACTAGTAACTTTTCTGACACGATTAAGTGGAAAAAAATCATTTTTTCAAAAGCCACGGGGGACTGATCTCTCAATCCCCCTTCCCCTGGCTACGACCCTGCGCGACTCAATCAAGCATTTGGCCACAGAGTGATTTTATGCTGAAAATTAACCTATACTTTTTATTACATCATTCGATTCCTTGTCGAAAACTAGGGTTATGAAAAACATTTCATGCTTCTAGGACTTTTTTTTCGGAGTTATAAACGTTTCAAAGTGAGAACGTTCGGAAAACCGTAAAAAAAAGGCCATCTACAGTGTTTGGCCTATAGCTTTGTCAAGATTGTTTGTAGACTTTTCATATTTTCTATGACAAAGGTAAGTTCAAAAACCTGTTTGTTATTTATAATATATTTTTCTCCTGTCCTTAGAAAAGACTTTGATTCTAAGGACGTTTCGCTAAAACGTAACAGTTTAAATCAGAACGTTAGAAGATTATACAATATTGAGCTAACTTCCGTATTTTTTGTGAAACTTTCTTTTTATAAACTTTTGTGGCGTGTAAATAAATATAGAAAACTATGTGTCAGGGATAGGAGAAAGATATATGATGAATAATAAACAGGTTTTGAACTTACCTGTATCATAGAAAAGACGAAAAGTCTACAAAAAATCTAACTTTTCCTACTCAGAAAAACGTCTTAGCTAAGTTTTGGAAAAATATTCAGGAAAACACTTTTCTTAGACTAAAGTTTAAGTTTAGATTTCATCTATATCGTCTAAACTTATAGAAAACACTTTATTTCCTATGAAAAAAGACTTTTTTCACGAAATTAGGAAAGTGATTTTTACTACCTTCGCCTCTTGTTTCCCAATTTTCGTCATGTTGTGATACTTTTTTTCAAAATTTTTCGTTGGATCTTGTAGCTCTTGAGATTTGCTACAAAATGCAGTATACTAGATCTTCCGACAATGCTTTTCGATCACAAAAAATGGCTAACACTTGAAAAAATTGTTCTTTTTCACAAAGCAGCTATTTCTTCTATCTAACTCGACTTTTTAGAAAATCAAAGCTACTTATTTGATGCAGTTTTGAACGCTCTTTAGAATGAGGCATGGCTCGAAAAGAACAGATTAAATTTGACAAAATTATAGGCAAAACACTGCAGATGGCCTATTTTTCCGGTTTTCCGAACGCCTTCACTTTGAAACGTCTATAACTCCGGGAAAATAAGTCCTAGAAGCATGAAATTTTTTTCATAGCCCTAGTTTTCGACAAGGAATCGAACGATGTAATAAAAATTATAGGTTGATTTTCAGCATTAAATTTCTTTTCTCGATGGGCTCACGAAACCTCTCCTTAAAACAAATCGTTCTTACGCTGATTCTTCATGCGCCACTCCAATAATAGTCGAATGAACATATTTTTGACCATTATCATCATTTTTGTTATCTTGAGAAGAATTATCCAGTAGTAAAGAAGAGAGACTGACATGTTTTGATTCATTATAAAATTCTTCTAATATCTTCATATTTGGTTTAATTTTATCAGAATCTCCACAAATAGTCAAATGTGATTGTGTTAAATTTTTAACAATAAATAATCTTATTTGTTCTAAATTATGTAATATATCTTTTTTATATTTTTCTGGATTTTTTAATAAAGTTTCAAAAAATAATTTTTGATTAAAGATATTTAATTGATGATAATAAGATGATTTTGACTGTTTTAATCTCAAACAATTAAAATATTGTTGTTGTATCAATTCACCATCTTGTAATTGTTCAATTAAATATTTTAATTGTTTTTCACATTCTTCTATAATAATATTATAATCATCAAATATCATACCAAATAAACTATATTTTAAATATTCAATACTCTTTAGATATGTATCATAAGATGTTTGTAATATAATTGTTAATGTATCAATATAATGTCCGCCAATAAATCCTGATTGAATTGGTGATGAAGAAGATATACCCAATGTTACACTTGATTCAATAATATCATTTGAAAACATTTCACAAAAATTAAATTTTGGAATATATTGATTTTGATAAGAAATATTTGTATGAAACAATAAACTTGAAAATAGAGATAAATATTGTTGATAATCAACTGGAAGATTTTTTATTGGAATAAATAATGAATATTTAATAAAATGACTATATGGACTATGATAAAGATCAATTGGAAGTGTAGAAATTATAGATGAAGAATCATATTCAATTGACGGTAAATTAAAATTGAGATGATTCATAATTGAAGAAGACAATGATGATTTTGAAAGAATACTTGATAACAATGTATCACATTGTGATGATGATTGTTCATTATTTCGACGAGCATTATCCAATGATTTTTTCATTTCATCCAAATTCATTTTTCCAACCATTCGATCTTCAATACGTCGATCTTCTTCTTCTAAATATCAAAAAAAAAACAATACAAATTATTTAGCAGCATTTAGAAAATGAACAGAAAGAAACAATCATAGACCTCTCTGAACCTCCCCTCCTCTTTTTTAAAAAATTTTGGAATTTTGAGCTGAGCATAGCCTGATGTAGAGGAAACTGTGGACTACAAAATGAAATCACTCCCAGCACTTCACGACCTTTCTTCAAAAAGTTATACATTATGAAGTTTTTTCTAAAAAAACTCAATTTTTTAGTTTCATAAACTTTTCTCTCCTTTTCTGTACATTCAAAAGTTTTCTTACTCACAATCTAATACAAGAAAGTGTTTTTGTCATAATGAGACGCCTCCCAGAATTTTTTGATGAGTTTTTATGGAGATATAAGCATCCCAGCAAATGCCCTGGAAAAAGTGGCCTATGTACAAAATGTGTTTTTTCTCGAAAACTATTTTTCTACTACTCCATTGGACCACATTACGAC